CCCCTGGTTTACACACTCAAGATCCAGCGTCTGGTGCTGATCTGGTGAGTATCTACAGGGGCTGACCAAAGGAGGACTAAATAAAGCCAACCAGTGGATTTATCACAAGGAGATGGATACAGGATTTTAACAGGAATGACTGTTACTTCTTTGGCTAACCAAATGTCATCATCTAACTGTAACAGATCATGTCAACTCATCAGCATGTGGTTCATCATCTTTGTTTTTCTTTTGTAGATTGTGGATAACTGCTTTTGTGAAAGACTAAAATCGTACTAACTTTGCACAGCACTAATGTCAGTGACGCAGCAAAAAAAAACTTCTAAATGCTAACCCATTCCTATTGAATAACATAAGACTTATATAGAATGTAAAACTAGCATCAATCACTATGAGCTATAACTTAACTCTGTGGGTTGCTTGTCCACAAAAAACGACCTTGTGTGTGTTGTTTGTTGTGTCTGTCTAAGAGCAGACAATATCTTCAGTCGCCGAGTTCAAAACAGACAGGGAATTTCATTACTAGATCTAATATTGCCACGGTGTGCGTGTGCGCGCGCGCCTCCGTGTGTGTTCCAGAGCTGGCATCATGTGCGACGACGATGAGACTACCGCACTGGTGTGCGATAACGGCTCCGGCCTGGTGAAGGCTGGATTCGCCGGCGACGACGCACCTCGCGCCGTGTTCCCCTCCATCGTTGGTCGCCCCCGTCACCAGGTAATGTAAACTGCTCATGTACTCCACAGACGTGTTAAGAGGATGAGCTTGAGCTTCACTTAAAACAATGGTTTTTGATGAGGGAAGCCCATGCGTGCGCAATTGCGCTGAAAAATTACGCATCTACATTTTAATTGATAACTGAGGAAATCAGACTATTATGTTATTTTTGAAAACACAGTTCAATTCTGTAGTGGTAATGGTGAACTGTGATGATTAGTGGTAGTTCTCCCACAACATTAAAAACTCCTGGTCCTTGATGTTATCAGGGCGTCATGGTTGGTATGGGCCAGAAGGACTCATACGTCGGCGACGAGGCTCAGAGCAAAAGAGGTATCCTGACCTTGAAGTACCCCATCGAGCACGGCATCATCACCAACTGGGACGACATGGAGAAGATCTGGCACCACACGTTCTACAATGAGCTGCGCGTGGCTCCAGAGGAGCACCCCACCCTGCTGACAGAGGCTCCCCTCAATCCAAAGGCCAACAGAGAAAAGATGACCCAGATCATGTTTGAGACTTTCAATGTCCCCGCCATGTACGTGGCCATCCAGGCCGTGTTGTCCCTGTACGCTTCTGGACGTACCACAGGTATGACGCATTCCCCAGGTGTGAAAGAGATTTAGTTCAGCTATAGTAGTAGTCAGTTAGTATATGAACTAAATATTTACGTATTGATCCTTAGGCATAGTCCTGGACTCCGGTGATGGTGTGACCCACAACGTGCCCATCTATGAGGGTTACGCTCTTCCTCACGCCATCATGCGTCTGGATTTGGCCGGTCGTGACCTCACAGATTACCTCATGAAGATTCTGACTGAACGTGGATACTCTTTTGTCACAACTGGTGAGTAAGGATTACTTGTCCATCCATACACACATTTTTAACATCGTCATACACCACCTCAAACACACACAAAAGAAAAAAACAGAGTAATTTCTTGCTGTTTCAACCATCCTTCTGCACCATAAAATTAATAGAAAATTGGAACACTACTTCAAACTCAGTTGGGGAAAATAAATTGCAAACCAGGGGAAGAAAAACTTATCACATATACTGTATAATAGCAGTAATCGCTTTTCTGACACGTTAAATGAGGCACATGTGAGTAACTTCACATTATACAAATCTGATCCCCCCAGCTGAGCGTGAGATCGTGCGTGACATCAAGGAGAAGTTGTGCTACGTCGCTCTGGACTTTGAGAATGAGATGGCCACGGCCGCCTCCTCCTCCTCCCTGGAGAAGAGCTACGAGTTGCCCGATGGTCAGGTCATCACCATCGGCAATGAGCGTTTCCGCTGCCCGGAGACCCTCTTCCAGCCCTCATTCATTGGTGCGTAAAAGCCAGCGCACACACCCAATAACTAATTTCTCAAAACAAATGAAAATTACAATTTAACTAGTGTCTGGCACAAATAGGAGACATTTTAATCAAGTGATGTGATCCCATTAAGTGTGAAAAAGATTGACTACTGAATTTATTTTACACCACTGCCATTGTATTTTCATTGTGTTTATAGTGGAAAGTAACTAAGTATATTTACTCAGGTATCATAGGCTACTTAAGTACAATTTTGAAGTACCCATTTTACACTACATTATAATTCGACTACACCATATTTCACAGTGAAATATTGTACTTTATACTCTACTAGCCTACATTTATGTGACATGCAGGTACTTTAGGCACTAGTTACAGCGAGTAGCCAGTAACCGATCTTGAGTTGCTACTTTTGAAAGGAGCCAATCTTGAGTAGGTACTTTTACTTTTGTACGTAACTTTTTTTACTTGTACTTTTGTAAGTACATTTTTCTAGCGATAGTTCTGTACTTTACCTAAGTAAGATTTGAAGGTTGAATTTTCTATCGTGATACTTTCAGCCTACTTCTTTTACTTGTAAAGTAAAGTAAAGTAAGTAAATAAGCTCAGAGTAAATCAGAGTAAACTTTGGCGTGGATGGTGTTTATTGCTCACATTAGTGGTTGGCTGCCAGATTAGGATCACTAACTGAAGGTCACAGTTTATCCACCTTAGATTTACCACATCATGGTCGATAAATAGACATGAGTGATCTAAAGCAGGGGCTTATTGTTCACATTTGCGCCGCAGAGCACGCAGCTGCTGGCGGAGCTGTCCACTTCAGCACCTGTTGGGACAGCTGACGGTGGTGTCAGATAGTGGGGTGGGGGGTTAAAATTCACTAACTTGGCCGCTGTGTTTGCACAGGCATGGAATCTGCGGGCATTCACGAAACCACTTACAACAGCATCATGAAGTGTGACATTGACATCCGTAAGGACCTGTACGCCAACAACGTCATGTCCGGCGGCACCACCATGTACCCTGGTATCGCTGACCGCATGCAGAAGGAGATCACTGCTCTGGCCCCCAGCACCATGAAAATCAAGGTAACTTTGACTTACTGTTGAACGACTGTAACATTTCTAGGAGCAGATTCCCAGATTTAACGTGTGTTTGTGTTTAGATCATCGCCCCCCCTGAGAGGAAGTACTCCGTGTGGATCGGCGGCTCCATCCTCGCCTCTCTGTCCACCTTCCAACAGATGTGGATCAGCAAGCAGGAGTATGATGAGGCTGGACCCTCCATCGTCCACAGGAAGTGCTTCTAAGCACCAGACTGCCCCCTCGTCCCCCTTTCCCTCGCTCTCTTCACCCTTACCTCCTCCCTTCTTTGCCAATTTATGGCTCCAAAGCAGAAATTCGTATGTTGTTGACAAATTCTTTGTTTACACTCAAGTGCAATTTATATGTGGATATGTATAGGTTTATAAATAAACGAGAACCGGGACTTCTAACGGAAGAGTCTTTCATTCTTTCTTTCTGTGGAAATAACAAGGACCTGGTTCAGGATCTATAACAATCTCTCTCTCTCTCTTTTTCTCTGTCTTTCGAAAGCAGCGGGGCTCTCGTCCTCTCGTCACGTGATGGATAAGTAAAGGTTATTAAAGATTTGAATTAGAAAAGATTACAGTGAGCGGAGAGGATAAGCCACCTCACGAGAAATTAACCTCACAAAGTTTCACTGACTGAAAACACCACTGTCACGTGATCGGTAATCCACGTTTCTCAGGTTGGACATGAAGCTCACACTCCCTACCTGCAAACCTACCGGACACATTTAGCTAATAACAACAATAATGAACAACATATTATACCTGAGGAGACACACAAAGTGATAACAATGATAATCAGGTAACGATTTAGTAACAATTCATTATGATGCATCGCTTTAATTCAGTGGGCTGTAGTATTTGGAAGAGCAAAATTACAGCGTCTATATGCATGAAATTTAACGAAGCCATACATTCTAGTTCAAAAGGACAATCATAAATAACTATGACTTCCAATTGTGCCACACCACACAATAGTCTAATATTAGTGTACACACACAATGCAACACCATAAATTGATCAAATCTCAGAGCAATATGTAGGGCGGGGTCACATATTTTGTTTCTATTTTTAAACCTCCACACAGACAAAGAGGGAGAGACAGACAGGCAGGCAGAGAGACGGGGGGGACAGGCAAGCAGGCTGCCTTGTAAAGCGATTAGCAACTCGGATGGTACTTTCACTCTGTCACTGCATCCAGAGCATCATCTTTGCCCGAGGTGGAAACAACAGCTCTACCAGCCGGGCCAGCAGTCTGCGACATGGTGAGGGATACCTCTGGGCATGCGAGGATATCCGCTCCAAGAGAGGGAGATTAGGTCTCTTTATTAAACCGTCCATAGGCTTTGGTTAGATGCACAGAGCAATAGGTTTGGTAAAACTGTGACATATGCTGCATAAGATACACGTGTTTGTAAATCTCTCAATATCACTGATAACTTCAAAACACAGAGGAGTCACCTTGACCCTTGCGCCCAGGGCAGGTTGCATCCACAAGCCCTGTCTGGGGAGGATGGATATTGTTATGTGGTGCACATGAGGTTGTGAACTCAGTGAGTTGAGTAGCAGTACAATACAGTCTGATTCTCACGTGGAGCCACCCATTTCAAAATGTATAAACTGGATGTACTGTAGGCTACAACACTGGACACAATAGTCCACAGGAGTGTCCACTGAATGGCGCACGCTATATACAAAAATGAAATATTGAAAACCAGAAGCCCTGGTACTCCTGGCTGCGCTCCACCGACCTGTCTGCGCGTATGTGACGCATGGGAGGGGGCAGACTACTTAAAGGCGGATTAACGCTGGCAAGACATTAAATCCAACCTCCCTCCATCCAGACGCAGCGCGCAGCCCATCAACCTGATCTGAAGATCGAAAATAGGAGGGCTTATAGTAATCAGCCCTTCAGACTCCCATGACAAGGAAAAGTGTGGAAACGTCGTGGGAGCGCTCGGCACACACAGCAGGACGTTCACTGGCGTTGCGCGCTCAGCACATAACCCACCAGATAGCGCGCAGAGAGACAGAGAGAAGCGGGGACGGCAGCAGCATCCCGTGACGGATGCATTTTTTAGCTAATATCGGAAGGTTTGGAGACTGACACCAACGAGAGACAGAGAGAAGTAGGACGGGAAATAACGCGCTTTTTTTGGAGGGATTTGAACAGAGTACTGTTGTGCCCTTGTCTTCTCCGGATGCTCAGAAATGGGGGAATGGACTATACTAGAGAGGCTCCTGGAGGCTGCTGTCCAGCAGCACTCTACTATGATAGGAAGGTAAGATGATCAACAAAAACCAAGAACAACCGAAGAAACGCAGCAGCCTCCAGGATCGTCTTTAGCATGGTCCCCAGTCCCCCGTTTCTGTGTTGTGCCTCAAGGATCTTCTGTAGCATGGTGCCCAGTCCTTCGTGTCTGTGTTGTGGATTTTTCTGTCTTGTTTCACAGATAGCCTTCTTTTTGCCTACCTCTTCCTAAACGAGACGGCTGAGTAAAAATCATTTGGCAGCTGTCTCTTCAGAACCTGGGATGGTGCTGCAAAGTCCAAACAGCCAAAACTAAACAAAAAAATCATGTGTCATTTCATGTATTCATTCATCCACTTATCCATTTGATGTGTGTCGGTGAGTTTGAGTGGTGGTTGTGCACTCTGGGGTGGCAGAAAGAGATTGGGCGATGAGAGTCGGCGTAATCACCTCTCACCATTAACAATGCTCACACAGGTACAGTCAAAGCAACGCCGATTGCTTACATGTCATGTCAGCCATTAAATCACAAAACACATACAACACTGATACACATAACAAGCAGCACATAGCGTCCTCATCCCAAAGAGCGTCCTGTTTCAGAACTGGACAGCTCCCTAAATCCAGCACACCAGAATTGGATTCTGAGCGCTTCAGCCACCGAGGCAGCGCACAACCCAACCACATTTGGTGTCAGTTAACACATATATCTACACTTATTTTCACATTGTTTGTTTGTGTCCTTGCTTTTTAGGATCCTACTAACAGTGGTGGTCATCTTCCGGATTCTAATCGTAGCAATAGTTGGAGAGACTGTCTATGATGACGAGCAAACCATGTTTGTTTGTAACACCTTACAACCGGGCTGCAACCAGGCATGCTACGACAAGGCATTTCCCATTTCACACATTAGATATTGGGTTTTTCAGATCATCATGGTGTGCACCCCGAGTCTTTGTTTTATCACATACTCGGTGCATCAGTCGGCCAAGCAGAAGGAGCGGCGCTACTCGACAGTCTATCTGACACTAGACAAGGATCAAGATTCACTGAAGCGAGACGAGAGCAAAAAGATAAAGAACACCATTGTTAATGGAGTACTGCAAAACACTGAGAACTCCACCAAAGAAGCCGAGCCGGACTGTTTAGAAGTCAAAGAGATCCCTAATTCGGCCATGAGAACTACAAAGTCCAAAATGAGGCGGCAGGAGGGCATCTCCAGGTTTTACATCATCCAGGTGGTTTTCAGAAACGCGCTGGAAATTGGCTTTTTGGTGGGTCAGTATTTCTTGTATGGATTCAACGTCCCGTCGGTGTACGAATGTGATCGCTACCCCTGCATAAAAGATGTCGAGTGCTACGTCTCCAGACCCACGGAGAAGACAGTGTTCCTGGTATTCATGTTCGCGGTCAGTGGGTTTTGCGTGGTGCTGAACCTGGCTGAACTCAATCACTTGGGCTGGAGGAAAATCAAAACGGCCGTGCGAGGTGTGCAGGCTCGGCGGAAGTCCATTTATGAAATCAGAAATAAGGACTTGCCGAGGATGAGTGTGCCTAATTTTGGCCGCACTCAGTCTAGTGACTCTGCTTATGTGTAACACATGAGGAGGAGGAGGAGGTGGAGGGTGTGAAAACATGTATAAAAATGAAAAAAAAAAAACAACAAAAAACCATGATGGACATGATGGACAGCTCCGCACGCCTAAATTCGTGTCATGACTTCAAGAGTGGGCAGATTTTTTTGATTTGTTGGTCTTTTAAGGACTTCATGGCAAGCGTGGATTACACGTTTGTTTACTTATTTATTATTGCACTGATGCAACTTTTTAGTAACGTTTATACTCTGTAAGATGCTAAATGGAGACCATGTTAACGTGTTCACATATTTACTCTTTGTGTGGGCTGTTCTGCTGTACTTGAAGAGAGTAAATGCAAAAATTGCACTAAGAGGTGAACACTTGAGAGCCTGACCTTATATCCAAAACGTGCTACTGACCTGACGGTGTTTGTAAGACATTTACTTTCCACCTGTTTTTGGCACCAACCTGATTAAATGGCACATACACAGTGGTTAAACGGACAAAATCTACCATCCAGATTTATATATACATAGATATATAAATTCTTACTGACTATGGTTCGACCTAGTTGAAATACATCAGCGTAATTCATGTTTTTTTTTTTGTTGCCTGTGTTGCACCACTGACCTTAACATATGTAACCATTCCATTGCTTTATAGCTGACTTGCAAAACAGTATCTGGTGAATTTGCTGCAAACGCTAACGTCTGTGACTTCCTTAATTTATAACACACCAAAGCGCCCACTGCTTTTATTTGTGAAGTGTTTTCTTGCTTTTGTGTAATCAAGTGCCATACTTGTATATAAACATAATATATATGTATACATATAAATATATAGATATATAATAATCATCATGAAAGCTGATTCCCTGCTTGGATTATGCTAAATGCCGCCCAATTTTTTTATTTGCTTTAAATGTATTTGTTGTGATTTAAATGAAAAGAATATCAATAATAATAATAAGATATACAGTTTTCTCTGTTTTATTTTGCAAATGACTGGAAAAAGAAATGAAGTGCTAGTCTTTTTTATAAACATGAAGGAAATGACCCCAATCAAAGCTGATCAAAACTGAAAAATAGCACAAATTGAGATTTTTATCAAAGAATGGGCAATAGAAATCTGCTCTGGTGCTACAGTTTTTCATTGAATGGTTTTAAATGTAACCGAACAGACCAGAAAAAAACAAACATCTTTTTTTTTCTGTGGAAAATAAAAGTGGGATTCGTGTACACCAGAAATGTGTGAGGTGCAGTACTTTGTGTCTGCTACTCCAGCTTGTGTTGACTGACCTATCACACAGATATATATACAGTATATATATATATATATATATATATATATATAGATCCAGTGGAAGTTTTGCCTTGGTGCAGTGAAGACATTAGCCACACCCACTCTGTATTTAAAAAAAAAACCTACTGCAGGACACACCTTGTACAAGATCTCATCACTCTGCAATGTGTTGCAATACTGATACTGCTTCCATGAGACACATCAATACTTATGCTCCATAACAGAGGGGCCTAAGGGAACTTTTAATCTATATGGCATGCATCAAATCAGACAGTGCCTCCAGCCCTTACAGTGAGCTATTCATTCGCAGGGTCTCACTATGGACTTAGTTTGTGACTTTCCTCGTACTCTGCAGGAATGACAAAAAGCCGATCATGGTTCTGAATACTGAGGGGGCTGCCCTTTCTTGTGCCCTGCTCATCCCTTCTTCACGCATTTGAGAAAGGATGAAAGAATGCAGCTTGAATTGAGGGTAAGGTTGTGTACTCCTCTTGAAGGTCAGAATGAAAACAAAAGATGGGGAGAAGAAAAAAGAGAAGGTGCACAATGATATGACCACACAAGAAGGAAAGAGAGAAAGCACGAGCGAGAGAGAGAGCAAGAGAGAAATAAAGACACAGAGAGATAAAAATGAGATATTTGCAGCTGACCATTGCAGGTGATCATGGGGAAGGGCTGGTCTTCTCATGATTCCCCTGCCAGGATGACTCTGCAAAGCCCGGAGGAATCGAAGAGCAGCGGCACCGGCACATCCATCTCCAACTCAGCAGGGACCCGAGATTTCTCCCTAAGTCATGAACTTGAAAAAAGAAAAACAGAAGACAGAAGAAGCGTTTGTCAACTTCACTCTGATGCAATGCAGTGAACGCCTTTATGCATCTTTGTCTCCCTCTCTTTTTCCTCTTGCTCATCCATATCTTTTTCAGGGATTCAATTGCTCCAACATAAAACCTTCAAACTAGGGTTCAATATTCACTTAAAAGCATCACAGAAATAAGGGAAATTAATAAGTTAAATTCACAAATAAGAAGAAAAAATAATGCAATATAACAAGGAATTTGAAGTGTCTACTGTACCTTTACAGTACAGTGTTTAAATACAACTGTCATCATTTTTGATGCTTTGGTAGTTTTATTTCAACCTGGTTTCAAACTCCAACAAAATGGCAAAATTATTGGGGTATGTTCGAATGCAATTATGCATGCTGTCATGCATTTACATCATGTGAGTGTTGCAGGGCTCAGCAGAGATTACACTGTACCTGTGTGTCTGCACTTTTTTGCAGTCATGACAGCCAGGTTACAGGCTGCATAGAGAGCATTTGGCTGGTAACATGAAAAATACACATGGCAATTCACTCGGTTTCAGATTTACACATTTAAGACTATGCAAATGTACTGTTTATAGTGATTAAGTAATCTCAAGGACCTGTGCATTCATCAACTGGCCCTCTGACAACTGCAGCAGAACACACCAAGGCTGCACGCAAGCTATTTTAAGACTACAAGGCAAAACACTGCAGGAACACCTCCAATTTCAAGTGATTCAAGGTGCTCAGGGTGAAGGCAGGGATTTTTAGAGCCATAACCCACCCCCCCCTTAATGCGAGTCATCAACAAAGAGGCACCCTTATACAGAGGGAGAAGTCTTCTCCCTGGACATGTACTGCGGGAGAGGAAGGCACTCAGCTCATAAACAGACAGCTTTTTTTTATGATCATTGTGGGCCTCCACATTGTAACACTGTCCACCTTCATTCAAGATAGAAAAGTCTTATGCTACACACATTAATCTGTAGAGTGTGTGGTGTTATTTTATTTTGAATTAAATTCCCCATTTTCAGAAAGCAAGTCATAGTCAAAGTGGCTGATGAGGCTAAAGTTTCAGCATTAAAACTGTGTGTTGCAGTACAGTATGTTTTTATGTCATATCACCTCATACCATAGGTCTTAACCTTGGGCCACAATTTGTAAAGATTTTGTCCGAAGGCACCTGATCCAAAAGTAATCGCAGTGTTTGGCACAGAACAAGAGGACAAAAGAAGTATGTTTAGTGATGTGGAATTGCAGATGGGATATATCCTGACCAAAGTGTGTTTTTATTCGAGGGACAAGGCCAGACTGGCACAGGTGAGTGATGGTGCTGGAGCACTGACATCTTTATTAACAATCATGGCAGCCACCTTACATCATACTGACAACTCCCCTGGAATAAGGTGTTAGACGAGGACAGTTGCCTCCAAAAAAGATTCCAAAATACAATCAACTCAATCATAATAAGACTCTAAAAATGTGAAAATTTTCACATGATATAGTGTCTATTTGTCTATGCGTTTGTGTTGGGACATAATTATCATTTGTGACTTTTATAATGCTTCTCCTGTTATTTTATATTTAATTAAAAGTATAAACCTGCTCAATGTAAAAACAGAAAACAATAAGTATAAAGATATTGTTAAAATACTGAAGACAGGAGGAAATTCCTACAGTACACACCCCTGTTTTCTTGCAGCGTACTCTGCTCTGTGTGGCCTCGCAGGAAATTTTACACATTTAACCACAACTTTCACCTGAGAGTGAATCCTGCAATCCCTGTGCCCCAAAACAAGCACGCCCTCCCAATTTCTCCTCTTTTCCCAATCTAAAAAGAGAAGGCTGGCTCCAGGGGAACGCTGCTTTAAATCTGCCTTTTGCACAGATTACTGCATGAAAGGGGGAAAGCAAACAGAAGAAAAACAGTGAATGCGGGTCTTTTTGATCCACTCAGCCAGAAGCAATGAAATTAGCCTGGTTACCGCAGCACATATGCACGGCATAGTATGGCATAGGCAGATATGGCAGGCATTGAAACAGAACACACTTGATGTTTGCACCCATGCGAGGGAGGAAGCAGTAACGCATTTTCACAGTGTAACCAAGTTTCTAACTCTCTGTCTGCCAGGGGAGCAAAAGCATCCACAGTGTTCTGGCTGTAAAGTAGCTTTCTCTTTCTCCAGCCACAATAGTTTCACCCACACCACTCTGCTTTACAGCTGCTCAAAGAAGCAGAACACCAAACTTTCATTCTATGATCTGCGCTTTGGGTGTTTTGTCTTTAAACTACCCCACTTTAATGAAATCTTCACAATACAAGGACAAAAGGACAGAGAACATTAGACAGAGTCTGCACAGAGGGATTTGGCTGGCTGGTTTGGTTGGTGGTGGGGCCATATTGGCCCATACAAAAGGATTTGGTAGAAAATAAGAGCTGCTGGCACTGATAAAATATACCTGACAGACCTGACAGCAGATTAATTTCTCATCCATTTTTTAATGTGACCCCAGGATTAAGAACATTAGCGGATTATACACAGATTTGTCAACCAGAGGTTCACAGTGGGACAGCCAGCACCTGTGTGAGGACACAATGCACCCAATCCCAAAAACCGATGTAGTCCTCTACTTTTGAGCCAGGTAGGTCAGGTTGAGATAGAGTTAGTTGGGATGAAGCTATTTAAACCTTGAGAAAGAGACCAGATTACTCTCTTTAATTGTATTTTACTAATTATCTTATTTAAATTCAGTATTTTTTGTTTAGAGGATGCAGCGTTTATGAGCCGCAACTTATAGGATACTACAGCTTTTTGCCATATTGCACCAACTGTCAAACTGTTAAGTAGTTTGTCATTAATGCAAAGCAGACAGCGCCAGACCACACTGCAGCAAAAACAAAACCTAAACAATTTCCTGCTTGTGACATCTTTAATTTCCTTCCAGGTGACAGCTCATTCTGACACCTATTGCTTGTTCCAACTTTCTACACCCACTCACCTCCTCTGCATTCCCTAATAGCTTGTACTACACACAGCCCATCGACCCTGATAAATGTTTAGGTTCTGCACCATTACACAGCCAATAAAAATCAGTGGCTGGCAAGTCTTAATCGGACACAGTGGCGTTCACCAGCCAATTGGACTTGTACCGATATCGGAGGCAGAGAATAGCAGAGTGCTTAGGAAGATGGAAGAGACAGAGGCAGAGGTATAGAGATATTAATTTACAGCAACCCACACTGAAATGTAATCACACACAGAGAAGAATATGAATCACTGCTGTGTATTATAGAGGCACACAGGGATAGAAGATAATACCCATCTTGTAAGATTCACAGACCACCGTTTAACTTGATGAGGAAGCTGCTGCTATAAAAAAAAAGAAAAGAAAACCAGCAATGACATGCAAACAAAGAGAAAGAGAAACAAAGAAATTATACAAATAGCACTACTTTGATGGTGAATTCAGATGTTTCTAAATCCCAGTGGAAGTGTGAGATTACACAGTGTGGGTTGGTCTCACTGACTCTGCCGCTGCTGCTGGGTTTAGTGATCATCTAGTCGACCTCACTGTGGTTTACCTTTGGACTCTGCATGAACCGCACACATTGCTGTCTGATTTCTCTCAGCTGATTTTCCCTGAGTATTTCTATTGCCCCTTCCTTCCCTTCCTTGCCCTCCTGCTATTAAATCTACCTCCCTCTTTCTCGCTCCCTTCTTCAGTCCTGTCAGTTTCACTACCTCTCTCATCTCTTTCTCTCTCTCCCTCCTTAGTGTGTT